TAGACAGGAGGACGATTAGGGTCCTCAACCAAAGCCTTTGGCTCAAAAGCCTAACCGCAAGGCAGCGGTGTTTGGCGGGAAATGCAAATGCATTACCATTTCTATGGAACAAGTCGCCACATGTTCCAACCCGCAACCTGGAGGGCCAGGAGACTGTGTTCGTCAGACCTCTAACCATTGACCAACCTGGTATGAGAGACTCTGTGAGTGCCGCGGGGACACTTCCCAGTATAGCTCAATGGATCGCTGAGATGCGCAAACCGTCACACCACGGTAAGGTTCAGTCTGTTCGTGACAGACCGAACAATAATGTATGGTTATTCCTTAATTATGCGTCCCAGGGATTCGGATTAACCATCCCCACAGAACGGAATCTACAGACAGGTGGTGAAAACTCACATCCTACGTACATTGTGCGACAATTGTATGGGCGTCTTAAATCAATATGGCCATCAGTCAATGTCAGTTAGTACACCGCTTCCTTTGTCTTGTGAATTATTTCATGGCTAGCAATAGCATAAACTTACAGCATACTCCTAATAACTCGTAACTCGCAAAGCACTTCAAATGTAGCCAACTGGAAACAACAACAGAAGCCAGTGAATTCCGAGCCTAGGGAGGACAGTGCACTCCTTCAAAACCTTCTACTTCAAGCATAGTCTGATCACGACTTTCATTTGCATACTTCCGAATAAGACTTCAATAGTCTTACCTCCGCACTATCTGTTTTGTCAATGGCAAGACAGACTCAATGACGCCCCACTTCGTGAAGTAGATTCTCTATCCTCATCAAATACACTCATAAACTAATTTGGTTTTAACAAGAGATAACGGAATCCAAGCTGAATCAATCGATCCTGGTTTTCAGCTGAGACTCCTTTTAGTCCCCTCCTTACTGCCAGAGTAATTTGCAAATTAGTAAACCCCGAGAATCGCGCACACTTTGTATTCAAGTAGAACACGATGAGCGACGACCCCCAAGAAGAAAGAAATCAGTTGTGCACAGTCGAAGAGTTTTCAAAAACCTTATGAGTGGTGAGTTCCTTCAAGAAAATTCCACATCTTTTTACCGGCAAACTAAAGCTGATTTCTCATAAAGGAAACTACTCACAAGGTTGCTGAAAACACTTTGGCGGCCCATGACCGGTTTGGCCCTTTATATAGTGTACCAATTGTAATATGGGGCAGTTTTTGTGCTGCACATTCGTTTGAAGAGTATCATAAACAAGAGATTAAGCTGAGTGAAATCCAGATTGATTTGCAGATGAGTGTGTTTGTTGAAATCAGTCCAACTTGAGTTCAAGTAGAACATAAGGTTGATGGAAACCAGGGGATTGAACCTAACTGTTGAGCCCGAGGAAGAACAAAACCGGTCGTGTGCTGTAGAAGAGTTTTCAGCAACCTTGTGAATAGTTTTCTCTACGAAAATATACTATGATATCTAGAATATCGTGCCAACTGAAACGTGAGGCGGCCTCTGTGCAGCAACTTCGGTTGAAGACTATCACAAATGTAGATTCAGTTGAGTCTCCCGTGATTGATATGCAAATGAGTGTATTTGTCGTAAAGCTGAGTTTTTTCCAAATCCGGAAATAGGGATGATCCCGAATCTCCGGGTCTTTTTGATGACTGCTCATAAGTTAAA